CTGTTAAAATGATTATGAAGTATGTTGTTGGAACATCAGACTTTGGGCTTTGGTTTCTCTTGTGGGTTTTAGTGATGCTGATTGGGCAAGTTGCTTTGATTATAGAAAAAGCATATTTGGAGGATGTTTCTTTTTCGGCAACAACCTGATCACCTTGTATAGCAAGAAACAAAATTCAATCTCATCCTCCACAGCTGAAGCTGAATATATCGCTGCAGGGAGTTTCTATACACAAGTTCTTTGGTTAAAACAAATGGTATATGATTATGTATTTGATCAAGAATGCATATCTGTCTTTTGTGATAACACTGGTGCAATAAACATTTCTAAAAATCATGTTCAGCATCCAGAACCAAACACATTGACGTTAGACATCATTTTATAAGAGAATTAGTTGATAAGGAAGTGATCACTCTTGCACATGTTAACACAAACTCTCAACTGGTTGACTTGTTTACTAAGGCTTTAGACTTGCAAACTTTTGAAAATTTGAGGAAGTCCATTGGACTTATTCAAATTGAGTAGTGTCTCTATCTTATCTTTAAATGCCTTGAGACAAATTTCCATCTTTTTATTATTACAAGTATTCTTTTAATTTGTGTTAACTGGCGATTGAGATTTTTTTTCAATCTTGTGGTAGCATGCTACTGAAATGTGTCCACCTTGTGCTTTCTTATCTAAAAGCTTTTATGTCTTAGAATCTCTCCATGAGTTTGTATTGCTTGACTTTGTCACCAAGTGAAAGAGCTACCTTACTTATAGTGTGAAAGTCATAAGTGAGTGATTCTCTAGGATGTAGTGATCTTTATGTCCTTGGAAGATCTACCATTTAGAGGGCTACCTCATTGCAAGTGTGAAAGCTACACTTGGTTGCTGTTTGAGAGATTTTATTTTGTTTAATGCTTGAAATATTCATTGAAAAATAAATAAAAAAGAACTCAGTTGAATTGATTTGTAAAAAGAGCATGAGGGAAGAGGGAGACAAAAGATGTTTATTTAACCAATGAGTCAAGCTCCCCTTTGAGGTCACCACACACACTTATGACAAAGAATCTATGCATTCTTGCTCATCAATTGACAAAAGAAATAACTACTCGTGTGTGAAAGTGACTTGATTGAGATCATTTCTTCGGCATCCCCTAGATTGGTGATATTTTCTGTTATGTCATACTGATTGACAATACTTGCTTCTGTAAAATTTTGTTTATGAAATTGATCTCATGGTAATTTCCTTTTCATTTTTCTTTGTTTTGTGTCTCTTGTCTTTTGCCTTGGTTCAAAGTCACCTCTTTGAGAGTTCTTGTGTGCACATGCCTGCAACTTTTTGACTTTGATTTCTCACCTAAATATCTCTTTTATTGTTGAACTTTGTGAATGGCTCGATGTGTGCACCCAGTACACTTATTTTATCACATGTGCAACTTTCTTTATGTTTTGCTTGTTGTACGCACTTGACTATTTGATGTGTTCACATTGCTTTCAGTAAATAAAAAATCGTGTTTTTCTAGGGTTGCAAACTTTTCTCTTTTTAAAGTCGCACTTTGTTCTTTTCAACCGTCATATCCAAAGTCCACTATTTTTTATTCTTTCTTTTCTCTCAATACTCTCTTCTAACAACCGTTTGCGAGATTCAATGGAACATCAACAAGGATTTGTTGACGACATCAGGAAGGTTGCTGAAGTCAAGAAGAAAATAAGAACAGGGCAATCCTCACATGCCCAGGAAAGTACGCACTCTTCTGCTTCAAGTGAAGGCACCTCCTTTGCTTCAAAATCAATGTTGAAATCTTCATCTTCAATATCCACACCATCTGATGATCAACCTCTCATCAAGAGACTGAAGTGTGCCAAAGGGTCCTCTGCAGAATCCCAAACGAAGAAGAAGAAACAAGTTGAGATTGCCAAGGGCAAAAAGAAGGTGAAAGCTCCACCTCAATATGAGGTTTTAGGTAAATGGAAAATTTTTGTTTCTCCTTCTGCTGAGTCTATATTCAAAGATTTTGTTGTTTTTAGATCCATTGTTTGTGAGTCAAATGTTAACTCTTTGAGTTCTCTAAAATTACCAAAATTGTGGCTGAACGAAAGTGGAAAACAACCGTGGTGAAACCTGTGCCACCATGTCAGGGTTTGGTGCAAGAATTTTATGCACATTTTAGGAAAGACATTGACCAGACCTCGTATGACAAAAACCAAGTCTGGGTAATGGGTATTTGGATAGACTTTACCCTTGAAGTGATTAAAAAATTGTTAAAGCTCCCCGTTGTGAAGAACAAAGATAACCTAACTGTCCTTATAGACGAGCATAGGTTTATGGCTAGGGACCTTAATGGTGGAGTTGTGACAGTTTGGCCTGACAGTTGTTTTCTTCTTGTCAATGTTTTCACATCCTTGTACAAAACTCTCTTCAAAATCACCATCACGAACTAGTCACCCTCTAGGCATAACTCATTTATTAGGCTTGATAAAGCACAATTGTTGTATGTCATTGTGCACGAAAATAAAATATACCTTGCTTCTGTTATTTACAAATCAATCAAGACCGCTGGTGAGTCTAAAAGGAAATCTTTCATTCTGCCTATCCCTTCTCTGGTCACAAGGTTTGTTAACTCTTATGGGGCTCCAAAACAGTCTAATGATCACTTTCTTAAAATTAGCAGTATCTCTTCTAAGACTCTCAAGTCGCTACCCCTATTGTGGATGTACCTTCATCCTCTCAAGCACCTCCTATAAAATCCAGTGCTTGGCAGTCCAAATTATTTGAGTTGTTGCAGACTTTTGATCAGAAAGTAGATTCTTATCACACCACCTTTCTAGCTCGTGTTGACTCTCTTAAAACTGCTCTTAAAGAAACCAAGGTTGAGTTTCTAAGTAAAGGGTCTTCAAGTGGTTCCAAGGATGCCCCTAGTGCCTCTGTTCCTGTTGAAAAGACTACTGATCCTGCCACGACTCAAACTGATCCTATTGCCAATCCTACCAATGCAAATCCAGATCCAAATCCAGTCATTCCCGAAGACATTCTAGAAATTAATGAAGAAGATGATGTGGATGAACCTGATTCTGGAATTGCAGCTGACGAAAGTGCACAGGAACCTCTGCTTTTGTGCCTGTTCTTGAAATGGATCCCTCCAACAAGGAGAAAGAATCTAAAGATGTGGACCCCCATGTTGTCTCTCAGATTGAAGAAGATGCTCCTCTGTCCACTTCTGTAGTTGATCCTCCTTCAGCTCCTGCAATTGTCAAGACTCGTGTCAAAACTATTGGTAGGAAGCCTCCCATCAGAAGATCTTCAAGACTCAAGAGTTGATCACTTATGATCAAAGAGGGGGAGATGATGTTGTTTGCTATTGCTGGCCAAGACCAAAAAGATGCTGTGAATTATTTTATTACTGTGTTCTTTTGTTTTTTCTGTTGACTGTCTTTTATTGTGATCACACTTTAAGTTTTTTTTTTTTTTTTGTTTTTTTTTTTATTGCAAAACTTATAGAACCTTTTATGGATGTTTTCTTGTGAATTCTTTTTTTTTTTTGTTTTTTTTTTGGTGTTTCTTTTTATTGCTAATGTTCAGTTGGTTTTCTGCATGAGTTATGTTTTATTGCTAATCTCTCCTTTGTTGTGCTAATCTCTTCCATGCTGTGCAGATTCTCTTAAATGACACGTTGATCTTCTTCATTTGGAAATCCTTTGGTAAATTCCTTCTTGACTTATGTTTTGTTTAGGGGGAGGTTTATTTTTGAAGGGGAGTACTTTTGTTCTTAAATTGTTTAGTTTTTTTTCTTAAATTGTTTTTCCAATCTCTTATTTTGAAAATTGTTTTTCTTTTGTTGTGCTTTGATCATAAGTGACAAAGGGGGTGATGTTAGTGTTTTTGTCACCTTATGATCTTGTTTTGAGTCCTGCACTATTTTTTCCTTTATGCCATTATGGGCACGCTTGCTAAAAGTGAACACCTTCACAAGTGTGAGCACTTTAGCATGTGTGTGCTCACATTGCATTTGGCAGATTTTTCCTCTCAATCACACTTCACGCACTCGTTTTACTTTTTAGACAATGTTATTCTTTGTTGATATTCTGTTTGTTTCTTTTACATTTGTCCACCTTTTATTTGCTGTGTGAGAAAAGGAATATTGCTTTTGTCTATGGTCCCAAATTTCTTGTGCAAAAAGAAAAACACAAAAGTTAACTTTTAACTTTTTTGTCCCCCAACCCTTGACACATTGATCTCTTTATATTCACTCACTTCTGGCATTTTTCTTTAAGGAATCTGATCACATTTGTTTTCTTCTCTGAATATTCTCTGAGGTTCTCATTTTGTTAAGGTTTCTTACTATGCTTTGGTAGGCTTAGAATTACCTTCTTCGCCTGTCCTTGTGTGAGATCTTTTGATGTTGTTTCCATTGTGATGAGAGCTTGTGTGTAAGCTGCTGTCCTGTCTTCATTGTTGAATCTTGAGAGGAGCTCTTCTTCAATAGGATGTTGCTATGTTCGTGAAGCTTACTGTGATGACTTAAAGTTCATCCAAAGGCGATAGAGTTGTTGTGTAGAAAACATGGAGTGTTTTACAACTTTGGTTATCTTGCTTTGTATTTGAACTCATAAGTTTTTTATAGTGAATTTGCTTCTTTTGGATGTGGTTCCATGGATGTAGACTTGATGTTGAACCATGTAAAAATGAGCGTGTCCTTTACTTGCTTTGATGTATGTTTTATTTAAGTTTTTCACAACTGATTTGCACTAAAAATTGAATAAACAACCCATTCCGTATAAGTTTTAAACACTTGGTAACCCTTTAAAACCTTTAAAACTTTAAAGTCTGTAACCCCAAGGGAAAAGGGGTTTAAAAGAATGAAGTCATGTCACCACTAAAACAATAGCACCTCTCAATCTCCAGATGAATCTGGTGATGCTGATGTTATGTATTGAATTTGAACAAGTCTTTTTCTTTCACAAACAGTATATCAAGCCTTTGAGAAAATCCACCCCACCAAAGTGAAAAAGAAAGAGGGAGAAGTAATGCACGATGATCTATATGATTTCAAGAAGAAACCGAACCCGATCCTCAGAACCTGTTAAGGGAATGTTGGTGAATTTACATGTATCATATATATGAAAAAAGCTGCTAGTATTGAGTGAACAAGACACAGCAGCTTAACAATGAGCCCAACTGGCTATGTAAACTAAACTTATTTCTTTTTCTATACATTTCATAAAGAAGTCATGAAGAATTATGTATATGTACATGGCATTCAAATTCAATCCAGAGCCTTTAGAGGAAGTATATGTACATGGCATTTCATAACGATCTCTAAACTTCATTTAACATGAAAAAAATTGCATTTTCAAACTCCATGGAAAAAGTTTCAATTATTTATCTGCACAAGACACTAGAATGCTCTTTAGAGGAAGTAGGCTGTACCTTAAGATAAGATAACAAGTCCAAGATACATAGCTCCACAAAGAAATGCAAATGATATCATTCCCCTGCAAGCATCGTTAAAAATAATAAGTAATCAGTGGCAAGTAAATATATAATGATTGAACATTAACATATTAGCACATCATACAAAGTCTCTAAATTGACAAATATCATCTTTTTTTCAAAGCTTAAAAAGCTCACCAAATGACTCCCCAACCAACACCATTACAAGGGCAAGGGCAAACTTCCGCGAACTTCTCAGCATCACTGGAGTGGACTCTTCGAGATATTAGATCATCATAAATATCTGCATCATTCATACTCCCAAATGGTATTACGGTTTGCATTCTTTAATTCCAGTTATAGCCATTTGGTAAAAAAGAAAAAGAGAAAGAATGAGTAAATACACACCATAAACTGAAAACAAGCTGTTCATTACTCCTGCAGTACGCAAGAACATATTTAGCTAAATTTATTTTCACTAAAGAGATGAAGTATTGTTCGTAAGCTCATTCAACAAAGTGGGAAGATATTACAGGGCATATACCAATGAAAAGAAGGACATAGCGGAGAATACGGACACTTGTTTTTTCTTGCAAAATCCAAACTACAGCAAGGAAAATGATGAATCCTGAAAATTCAGTGGGTAAATTTCAAAAATATGAGCATAGATGCTTAAATATAATAAGAATAGGCACACATAGATCACGAAAACACTCACCAATACAAAGTCCTCGAAGTGTCCACTGTTGACACAATAGGATAACAAGTAAGATAGCAGAAAAAATTGGTACACTCTTTCAAAGAATATTAATAAAATAATAAAAAAGAGCATGTGTACAATAACTACTTATAAATAGAAAATACCATCTCTGTTAGTTTCTTACATTTTTTGCAACAAATAGCACAATAAACAATGCAAGAGCAAGACAACCAGCAGCAATTCTTGCAGTGGTTAGATTTGTTGATGCAAACACCAAAGCCATTCCCCAAAATGATGAACCAAGATCTGGAAGCAAAGAGCAATCGTATGTGTTGTGAGTGCCATTGTTGTAAAAGAACAAAATGAAAATTTAGAACAAAATAACGAAACCAAAAGTTAATGAAACGGTCAACAAAAACACTTAAATTATCTTTTACCACTAATAAAGGCCATACAAAAACACGTCTATAAACGGTCAACTAGAATTTTTTGCTATATTACTTAAGAGATCCTGAGTTCAATCTATTTGGGTTGCTAATAGAGGTGATCATTGAAATGATTTATCTAACAGTAAACTTCATAACCCCAGGTGATATATTAAGATGCACACAAACTGACTCGGACACGTATAGATAAGATAACCATTTAAAAACCCACGTTATTTCTGATGATATCAGGAAGCATGCATTTTTATCCGAACATAACTAACATTTTATTTTGCAACACACAGAATGATGAAGAATGGTGCCATTAATCTCTAAAAAATTGAGAAAATGTTACATGGATAAGAACAATACTTTGAACTCATCATTTCGCAAGAAAGCAATACCCCAAAGAAATTCTATATTCACATCCGTTTTTTTGATAAGCAATTTACTCAATATCAGAATAAGATAAAATATGATTGGTCTATGTTTGGACATTGATATATAATTTTACCAGTACGGAATATATATGCATATGAACCATACAGAAAAAATAAAACAACAAAACTAAAGATTTAATGTATATATGAGTGGTGAAAAAGGATTTTGTGGGGCTTTGATGTTTGATCTATTGGCTGTGAAGCAAGCATAGTTAAGCTTAATTAATGCTTGACAATCTACATGCATATAAATATTTATTAAATTAATTCTCAGGTTTATTCAAGCGTGCCTTTATTCTTCCAAGGCGAGGTGGGCCTGACTCCTCACCCGTTGGGGGATCATGTCTGCTGATGGAGATAATTGTTCAACTGAACCTAGCTCTGATACCATGATATAATTTTAAGATGACCTGACTCTTCACCTAATAAGACCTTGTTGAATGGGAGAATTACCCCTTTTTAGAAACTAATAGGCTTGAGTATACCTTGTCGGTATGAGACTCCAATTATATAAAAAGGGTGGTGGAGCCGATTCATATGTTATAATTATAAAGTACGAGAAAGAGAATAAATAAAGGGTTGACATTAGAGCCGGCAGTGGGCTGTGCCGGCCCACAGCACGGCACGACATGGCATGAAAATATGCAAGTCATGTCGTGGGCCTTAAAAAAAGCCCGTGGGCCGACACGGCACGAAAATAATAAAATTAATTGTTATTTTTTAAAATAGTCGCTACCCCCTTGTGCAAGGGGGTAGCGGCTATTTTAAAATCGTTGTTACCCCCCTACACAAGGGGTAACGGCTATTTTAAACTTAAAATCGTGTTGCTGAAGCCATTATGTGTATGAAAGACTGGGTGGCGGCAGATTTCAAGCTTCAAAATCGTGTTGCTGAAGATATATTTAAAGATTTTAAGAATTTAGAAATTAATGAAAATGAAGATGTATACTAATTCTTAATCCTAATTTCTAAGTTTGTATTTTTAATTTATAATTATAAGTAATAAAAGTGTTAAAATTCAATTAATATTTCAATGTCTCATTATTTTATTATATTTCATGATTATATATTTTTAATTAATATAAATACAAAATGTCACTAAATATGAGATATAAAATATTTTTATAATAAATCAAAATTATCATAATTTATAAATATTAAAATAAAATATTTTTACAAAGCACGTGGACCGGCCCATGGCATGACCCAAGGCATGGCACGATATATAACGGCCATGCCGTGGGCTTTCAAATTTCGTGGACTGGCACGGCGCGACAAGACACGAAATTGTGCGGGCCTTGGCATGGCACGGTCGCACGGCACGATGGGCCTTAAATTTTTAGACACGACAACAGGATACGAACCACCACCACCTCTAGTTGACATATAAGTGAAAAATGGTTGACATTCCCCAGTAAGCAGAAAAAGGGAGATATATTCTCTCGACTCTTGGTGGAGGCCATTAGTCTTTCTCTGTCTAATGTCTATCCACACTTATCATTAATGTTTATATTCCACACTTTCCCTTGAATCCTGCCTAAAAGTCTTCATTCCAGAAGCCACCGCCTCCACTTCTAATTAATTTCTTTTAAGGAAGCTGAATAATCGTACAAACTTACTTACGTAGTAAGCTTCCATCATATTGGTGATGAAGAAGAGAATAACATAAATATGAGAGATCTATCCAAATCTTAAAGGACAAATAATATATAAATATATAAATAAAATATGCGATATTGAATATAATTGTATTTGTCGCCATGTGGGAGTGGGATTCGATCGATCAGTTTTTTCTAAGCAGATAAAATGAAAGTCAATATCATTCGATCCCTATATAAACTGATCAATGAAGGACTTGTGTTTTGTTATAGCATTAATGGAGATCGATGGAATTGTCCTCTCAAACATTATCATCCAATGTAGAAGGCTTTCAACTTCCCTCAAAGGCTTCCAGTGTTCCATGCATGCAAATATTTCTCTTTGTAATTTGGAACGTTGGAAGTCTTTGGGGGACTTTTGAGGGATATTACTCCGTCTGCATGATTGATTTTAAATATTGTGTGTGTGTGGGTGTGTGTGTGTATAATAGATCATTGCTTACTGCACGATTAGCACTTACCTTTTCATTGTTGATTGTTTTGCAGGTAGACCAGAAGCAAAAAATGCTAGAGACAACGGGGTTACATGTGAGGGAAGATGATTTATTGTTATCTTGATGTTTTTATCTTAATATAAATGACAAATGTTTTTAAAACATCTTTGGAGGCATCCACACTATAAATATGTTTTGATTGTTTAATTTCCAGATACATTCTTAAAGTTTTTAAAGTAAAAGTTTGGATCCTGCGGGATATCTTATATGAATGTTTTGAATATTATTATTATTGCACAAGTTTTTTTTTAACTACAACTCGTTCTCTAGACATGTATCCCCTGAATTCTCATTAAAAGATATTCAAATGATACTTTATATATATATATATTGTGATGGCAGTTGCATGCAAGTACATAAAATAAAGTTGACAAGAGAGTTTTTATAAGCGACTCCTATATTCACTGTGATTTGTATTTATAAGTGTTTGTTTCTTGATCGTTACATAGGTTTACAAGGATCGTGATCTGCGATCTACATTTACAAGTATTTATGTTCTAAGAGAATGTTAAGTCAGTCTCTTTCTAATAGTGTGTCTTTACTATTTGCTTTGTGAAATTCGTGTCTCTCACCTCCTTTTTGTGAGGAGGAGCTACCTATTTATATCCGTTTTGCTCAAGGTAATTAGTGGTTTTTGCAAGTGGTCTAATGGCGTGAAGATTCTTCCTGCCTTCCTGTTCGTTGAGAACTTCCATGTATATCCTTAAATTAAATGGGATCTAGACTGGTGTGCAAACCAAATTCACCCTTGCACTAAATTCATTTTTAAGGCGATTAGGGTTTTGACAGCTAATACTCTTACTATCTTTGGTTGCGTGTTGAATTCTAGTTGGTAGAGAGATCTACTGACTCCTAATTGGTGGAGATGACGTGAGCACATGTCAACCCTTATTTTTAGGCATAACACACACACACACACACACACCCATATATATATATAGAAAACTCTTTTGTTGGTTCATGCATATATCTATACGATCATTTACGTTTGTTTTGTACTCTTAATTAACTCGTAAACTGTTTCGTAAGCAATTAGTATAGTATGTGTGCTAACTAGCATTATCGATTCTGATAAGACACACTATTATATAAGCAGACTACATGTACGTACTTGAAGGATTTGTTTGACTCAATGTTTGAATCTGTTTTATAAGGTGTTCAATGATTCACGGAAACTAGTCGAGGTCAAAAACCGGTCCAAATGTCTCGGTCATAAAAAATAAAAAATAAAAATTGTTTGAAGCTGGCTCATATATTTTATAGCTCTTTTAATTTAGCCAATGAATATTATTAGTATAGCAGCTACAATCGGCATTTTTATTAATTATATATATTTTTCTTAAGAAATATAATATCTGCTGATTGACTTCGCTTAGGTTTGATCCAATAATAAACAATTTAATCTTTGGTTGCTCTCATATCCATAAGTTATTTAGTTTTCACCTTTTCACTAGAGATCTTTCGTTAAATTCCATAAAACTTGTTATGCACGGAAAATGAAGAGCTACGGGAAGGAGTCGCGTCAGGAGTAACCTGCCCCCGTCAGGACAATGTGCGCACGTCAGACCTGCGAATAACATGGAGCTCACACGCGTCCGTCTCTCTGCAGCAAGTCATGCAAAGTCAGCTTGGAAAAAGGGAAAACGGGACGTGAAATGGATGACATCCTGACAATCACACCAACCCGTAGATTTATGATGATTACACGCTTCCATTCGATATAAAATGTAAAAAACCTCACCATTAGGGGGGTTGGTTCATTCATTACCAGAGATAACTCTCTCTCTTGTAAAAAGTAAGAGCAAAGTACTTTCATTAACTCTCTTGTACGTCAGTCTGCTTACGACTGACCCACACCAACATCATAACAAATCAGTGGACGTAGGATTTGCTACCTTAGCATCCGAACCACTTAAAAAGCCCCTTTTCATTTATTTCTGTAAAAGGCATCCATTGTCACGAGCATAAAATTCATAAACAGTGTCACCCACGTGACAATTGGTTGTTGCGCAAATCGAGCATCAACAAAACTATTGCTTAAATGGGTGGTTAATAACAGTTATTCGCCCATATGGACTCAAAGTCTAAGGAAGATGTAAAAATTACACCATAAGTCTTTAAAATTAATAAATTATATCTTAATAAACATTTAAAGAACTTCCATGTTGATAATTCTCATCTCCACTGAAACTTCGGCACTATCAAATATCAAATTAATTTTATTTCGTACAAATATTTGTTTAATTTCAAACAATTTATTAATTTTAAAAAGATGAACTAGAAAAAACAAATAACTTTTTATAAGCATGAAAAATTTTAGGCACTTCTATATAACACATTTTCATTT